TGCCAGCGCTGCGAGCTGTTGCTCCCTGCTCCCTTACTTCACTGTGGACCAAGGTCCTTGCAGCCAGTGACTTCCTCTTAACCCTTTTCTGACGCTGACACACACACAGTTTTGTTCATTCAGATCCAATGGGTTATAAATATTTGCCATTATTTAGAGGGGTGGGTTACAAATGATCACTGGTTAGAGTAAAAGGGGGAAAAAAAAACCCTGCTAGCCTCAGATGTTTCTTGTTGGTGCAGGTTTTTATGTGATTTGTTATGGTATATGTATGCTTCTGTTCTTGTTGAAAGTATTATAGGTATACAATATTCTAGAGTACTAAAGGAAACCACAAGAAGGACTTTGATAAAAGCTTTTATGATGTCTGAAAAAAAGGCAGAGACTAAAATAATAAAGAGAAGAGAAAGAAAAAGAGAAGGCTGTCTGAAGTGAGAATGGCTGGCTGGACCAGAGGGGCAGAGACAGGAACTGAGGAGTATAGCAAGTTGTAGAACAGAGGAGACACGAGATTTGAGCATGTTATGTTAATTCTGGTGTTTTCTTCATTAAAAATAAAATAAAACAAAGCTGATTCACTATAAAATGTTTGTGTTGGGGACGTGGTCATACTCTTTAAAGGAGAGAAGGGGGACAGACCACTGCCTACTGTACCCCTGTACCCTATCTTTCCTTCTCCAGGCAACTTGGAGAAAGACTTCTTTTCTATCCCGGCACCTTACCCCCAGGCACCCCAGGATGAGAGGTCCTGGAGGGCAGAAAAGGAAGGGATGGAGGAGCCCCCAACACGTTTCTAACTCTTCCAGTCCTCTTCACCACTGAGGAGAGGGACCAGATTATAACAGAGGCTCAGAAATTGGTTCCAGGCCCAGATGGAAGACCCGCCACCAATGCAGACCTCATAAATGTTGGGTTTCCTGTGATGTGACCCAATTGGGATTTCAACACGGAGAGAGGTGGGGAAAGGCTCAAACTCTACCTCCAGACTACAATGGAGGTGTGTCCGGGTAGCTGCGAGGTGGCCCACAAATTTGCCCAGTTAGTCAGGTACTCCAAGGGCCTGAAGAAACACCAGGAACATTCCTAGAGAGGCTGATAGAAGCTTGTAAGACCTATACACTTATGGATGCAGAAAGAAGCACCAAAGAATCGTCTCAGTCAGCCTGGCTTTTGTCAACCAGTCAGCACCAGATACCCACCGTAAATTGCAGAGACTCGAAGATTTTGAAGATAAGAGGTTGGCTGAACCTTATCTCAGTTGCTGAGAAAGTATTCAGTAATAAGGAAACCCCAGAAGAAAGTAGACAAAGGGGATCACAAAAGCTTTAGAAAGACAGATGCAAGGGCTTACCAAGATCCTTCTAGTTGCATCAAGCAGCCCAGCGGTTAGGAGACAGACAAGAGCCTTGAGAGACTCACTGCATAAAGGAAAGGGCCAGAAGCAGGGACTGCGCAAGAGGCCTAGTCTGCAGAAAGACCGATGTGCTTACTGTAGGAAGCTGGGTCACTGGAAGAAGGAATGCCTTGAATGACAGGGCTCAAGAGAAGGTACTGGAACTGGAAGAAATGAGTGACTGAAGGAGACAGGGCTTGGAGCCCCTCTCCAGGAGCCTTGGGTAACCCTAAAGGTGGAGAAACCCATAGATTTTCTGGTAGATACCAGAGCACAACACTCCATTCTAAAACAACCCCTAGGCAAAATGTCACCAGAACAGTCCTGGGTGCAAGGGGCTACATAGATGAACCAACACTCATGCACTACTTGAAGCTCAATAGACACAGAAAACGGCGAGTGACCCACTCTTTTATAGTCATCCCTGAGTGCCCATACCCACTTCTGGGAAGAGACAATAGAGACCTGCTCCAGAATTGACACAAACAGAAACCTGGGCTGGCAGCCCCCCCCGCCCCCCGCCAATAATACAACTGAAAGCTAGGGCAATGCCAACATATGTCAAACAATACCCAATGCCCAGAGAGGCCAAGCAGGGGATCACTCCCCATATTAGGTGCCTCAGAGGCCTGGGTATTTTGGTCCCTTGCCAGTTAGCCTGGAACATGCTCCTATTGCCAGTTAAAAAGCCCAATTCCAATTACTACAGACCAGTGCAACACCTGCCACTGGCTCCAGCCAGTCAGCCTATGCCTGCTTTCCAAGAGGACGGATTCAATGGACAGCTGCTGACCTGTGCAGAGCACAATGCCCGTCTGCCCTCTATGCGCTACCATACAGTTCGCGAGCTTCGGGCAAGGGGCTGGAGGTTGAAACACACAAAGATTCACACAGAGACAGAGAGACAGGGACATGGACCTCTAGTCGCTGGTAAGAAGCCCCTTATTCAATAGCGCCACGGAGGCTTATATACCCAACAGTCAGGTGGGCCAACAGGTGAAAACCTTATCTTCTGATCCTCAAGGCCAAGGCAACACTTGCTCTCATGAGGCAGAGCTGGTAAACAACTTTGACACAGCTTTCAGTAGCTCAAATCAGAGGGAAAGTAAAGATCTCTAGCAGGGAAGAGCAGCTGGAGGCCAGGACTCCAAATGGTCTCAACAGACCAAGGGTTCAAGAACTCTCCTATCATCTTTGATGAAGCACTCCATGAGGACTTGGTGAATACCAAGCCCACCCCAACATCAGTAAGTGGATGACCTCCTGATGGCAGCCGACACCTTGCAAGCCTGCAAAGCTGCCACTGATTAATCCCTCTCTGGGATCCCCCTAACTTCGCTTGAAAGAAGCTTGTGACCTTCTTGGGGGGGGGGGCGCTCTTTTGCCACCCCAGCACTGGAATCAATGAGGTGCTCTTGTTACTGCATATGTGGTTTTTGGTCTTCTTTGGGGGTTTTTCTCGGACCCTAACAAGTTTGACCTCTAGAACCACAAAAACAAAAAATAAAAACATGACTGCATTTGAATTAAAGAAGACAGCTAATAATGAGTATGCAGGGCCTGTAATTCACTGTGGCAATTGCAGTATGGGTCACATTTTTCCTCTACTACAGGGATGAGCCTGGCAAGCAGATGGCACAGCTATTAATAGATCAGACAGCCTCCCCAGGTGCACAAGAGGAACAAGACAAAGTTCTTAGAATCCAATTACCATTTTCTCCTGACCCCTTTCAACTTGTTCACAGCTTATCATATGCATCTCGCTAGGAAAAGCTGTTTCTTCTATTATACCCCCACATATTGATCCCCAAAGTGCAGGGCTTTCCCCCCCTCCCCCCAACAGCTATCAACTCTTCGAGAATCTGGATAGCAATAGCAATGCTAACACTACCTAGAGTTAGTATAGCCCACTGGTTCAGGGATAAGTCCCACAAGACCGCCCCCACTTCAGATTACATCACAACCAGTGGGTCCCCAGACTACACACACTTGCAGCCTGCTTGGCTACAAATCGAAGTTTCTATAACCTATTAAGGTTAGCTTTAATAGCTTCTTGCCAGACTAGAATCACCTTTAGAACTGTCCTGATCGCCTTGGCTGACGTGGGAAGGCCCACCCTGACTGTAGGCTGCACCTTCTGCTGGCAGCCCAGGTATAAAGTGGATGTCAGCAGGAAGACACCTTGCCTCCTGCTTAGCTGGCCTTCCCTCTTGCCACCAAGTTGATTTGCCCCGCTGCCGCTGCTGGTTCGTCACCAGCATTTCCAAGCTATCATCATGGACTAGGGACCAGGAGTTCTCTGCAGATCAGACTACTGAGGCCCCCTACCTTGTGGACTAAGAATTACTTACTGTAGGACCACTCGGATTATTGCAGCATCTAGTCTCAAGAACCAAGTAACTACTGGGTCCACAGATTCTCCAGTATGATCTTGTTGTTCTTCCTATTCTAAAACCTACTTAAACTCATATTATTTTTTTACCCCACTGAATCTGCCCTTTTAGAGAATTCTAATACAAGCCCATTATTAGGAGTTTGGTAATTTTGCTGGGACAACTTAAAAAAATGCAGGAAAGCACTGGATTCGGCTTTAAGTGTATACAAATCAGCAGCTGGATAAAGATGTTGCCTCAAAGGTCTCAGGCACAGAAACGTCCGTCTACATAGAATTGGGGTGCATCACTTTCCTGGCATATCAATGTTTTCCAACATGGAAGCTCTCCAAACATCACAGGTAAAGGATATAACACAGACGCAGTCCATCGGTGTGATCAACAATCTCCAGCCCCAATCCAATCCCTGGATCAGCTGGAAATCGCAACTTCCTAGTCATGGCTTTGTCTTCCTGGCAACCAGCTCCCACCTTGAAGACATCCAAGAATCACCTCACTATAATCTGATCGAGAGGAAATTCAAAGGCACTTGAGAACTACCATCAGGAGCTGGGTCCAACACAAGATGTACCCATCACTTAGGACACTACAAGGGTCTTAGAAACTCTGACCAGAGAACTGGGAGGGAAGATGAGGCAGACAGGCTGGCTGATGCCGAATGCGTTTTCGGCAAGCTGTTCCCTAAGGACACACGGAAAATCATAAGCAGATGTAACATCCCAGAGGACTTGGGTTTCCTCATCTTTCCCAACATCAAATCTGTGCACACGGCACCTGCAGTGCCGTCCACTTCATACAACTCGACGTACTTTTCATTGCACACCCCATACAGAGGCTGGACATGGCAGGGGTTTTTTAAATTTAGTTTTAAGTTAGTGTACGAAGAAATGAGTCCCATGACTACATCTTCATACCCTGTGTGACATTATACTTTATTCTAAGCCCTCCCCCCCCCCAGGCCCTTTCCTGTGCTTGCTGCCCGCTCCCCTTGGCAGCTCCCAGATAACCGTCCCTTCTGCTCTCCTATCCCACCACCCCATTATCTTCTGTTTCTCCCTCCCCTCACTTCTCAAGATCTCCTTTCTGCCGTGATCTGCACTTCATACACGTAATTTCAACCTAGGTTCCACATATGAGATCAGATATATCGTTCTGACTTTGGCTTTATGCACTTGCTGTGAGTCCCAGCTTTATCCCCATCCCTACAGGCAGTAGACTTTGAAAATACATAAGCTTTATTCAAATAAATTTTTGTTTCCGTAGGAAGCAAGACCAGAAAATGGACATTAAAGACATTACACATGAAATGTCAAGACTATTCGCTATACCCTACTGCCATTCCGTCCCGAGCCTGCAGAAGCCTCAGGTTAGGACATAGCGGGTGAGTCCTCCTCCTCGAACCTCTGATAGTCTCTGGCAATGCCGCAAGATGTTCAGGATCGCGTATAGCCTCTTGTCGGTTTTCAAATTCGTGAAGTCCTTTAGGTCAGCTTCCACGAAGAAATAACGACCTGGAAAGAGAAACACCAGGTTCTAACTTCCACGAGTCCCATTCTCACAGACGTTTGTATAGAAGCACCTTGTGAACGGCTGAGTCCTTCTTACTGACCCTATCCAAATAAAAACAGCGGAAAAGGGCATTCCTGCTAAAACAATGCCCCAGCGACTGAAGCAAACTGACATTGCTGGGGAGCCCTGCGGTCAAGGGCAGGGCTGGTGTGTCTTAACAGCTCACTTCAGAGACATTCTGCAGAGATGGTAAACAGAAAGGAACCCACAGCAAGTCCATCCTTTAACTAGAAAACCTTGAATGAGCTGAGGACTCTTTGTCTAGTCTGGTTGGGTCAAGAGGACTAAAGAGGACTAAAGCTAAGAGCTGTCCAGCACACAGTGACGAGTCAGCATGGCTGGGGACCAACAGCTCTCTAGCTGCACCATTTCCTAGAATTCCAGGCTTGTCCTCCTCCAAACATGCCCTCCCTCATAGATCCCACTTTACCTTTTGTGTCCTTCGTTTCTTCATTAATAAATCTTTGGTAGTGATTTCTCTTCACGGAAGTCATAGATGCTTTTGGTTGATGCATAATCTTGTATTTACTAACCACTGCCTTATTAATTTCTTTAATAACATCATTAATTTGACAATATGTCAAACGGGATTTCATGTACCTGGTTTTCAAAAAAAAGTATATGATTATTCTTTTTTATATTTTATATTTCTATTTTCTTTATCATATATTTAAATATTTACTCCTACTACTTTTTTAAACAATAAAATAAGGTAAAACAAAAACTTAGCACATTGGAATTGGATAGAAACAGAAGGAAAAGAAAAGGCACAAGAATAAGAGATCTAGGGGCTGGAGAGGTGGCTCAACGGTTAAGAACACTGACTGTTCTTCCAGAGGTCCTGAGTTCAATTCCCAGCAACCACATGGTGGCTCAAAAAACCATCTGTAATGAGATCTGGTGCCCTCTTCTGGCCTGCAGGCATACAGGGAGGCAGACTGTTGTATACATAATAAATAAAATCATTTAAAAAAAAAAAGTGTTTAAAAAAAAAAAAAGAATAAGAGATCTACTCGTTCGCACACTCAGGGATCCCATAAAACACTAAACTGGACAATTTATACACAGAGGACCTGGTGCAACCCATGCAGGCCCTGTGTGTGCTGCCTCAGTTTGTGAGTTCAAACGTGCGTCAGCATGCTGATTTAGAGGCCTTGATTCCTTGGTGTCTTCCATCCCCTCTGGCTCTCACACTCTTTCTACCTCCTCTTCAGTAGGGTTCCCTGAGCCCCCAGGAGAGGGCTGAGTGTTCCCATGTATGCAGTTATTCTTTAGAAATTGTCACTCACGCTTTTCCTTTGAGATGGTAATGTAATTACATTTCTCCCTCCCCCATGATAGTACTCCTGCAAACAGTGAATGGTCCTAAAATGCTGGACTTTCTGCTAGAAAAGCGGCAGGCACCAAACCACAAAGTAACACAATGGTGTAGTGGCACATGCCCTTAACCTCAGTGCTTAGGAGGAGAGGCGGTAGATCTCCGTGAGTTCAAGGCCAGCTTGGTCTATATAATGTGTTCTAAACCAGCCAGGGCTACATACATAGTAAGACCCTGTCACAAGCAAACACTTCCTGGCCTTTCTGTTTCAACATTACATGTCACAATTCATGCAATCAAGCTTTATGACTTAAACAATCATGTATGTTGATTAATAGTCGTGAACATTAGAACTTATGCTCAGTACTTACGCAGGAACACCACTGAATTCATCAGTCGTTACAAACTGCATTTCCTTAATTGCTCTCTGTTCTTTGGGAGGCTTCTTTGCCGGGACAGGTTCCTCAGCGCTGACTGGCTCTGTAGGATCCGGATCAGCTCTGTTAGTCCTACAGAGCAGAGATGAACATACACAGGTAATTGTTAGAATCAAGCCGCACACAACACTTTTTTTAAATCTGGAGGGGGGGGACTACAAATGTGTGACATACCCTGGTTTAATAATTTCATAACCAGGGCTGGAGAGATGGCTCAGAGGTTAGGAGCATTGCCTGCTCTTCCAAAGGTCCTGAGTTCAATTCCCAGCAACCACATGGTGGCTCACAACCATCTGTAATGAGGTCTGCTGCCCTCTTCTGGCCTTCAGGCATACACGCAGAAAGAATATTGTATACATAATAAATAAATAAATATTAAAAAAAAATAATTTCATAACCAATGTTTTCTTCCTAACCCTACCCCTTGGTTATGAAGATCTTAATTACGGGAGGAATTTTGAAATTTAAATTCCTAAATCTTCAGAGTATGACTGTTTTTATTTATATACTCAAGACATGTCGTGCACAGAATATACACACCAGTAGTCCCGTTTGCTTCTCAGAGTCAGCATACGTAAAGCTGCGCTATCTCCAAACAGCTTCTCTCCCACTTCCCTAGCTGTGCACCGGGAAGCAGCAGCATCTTCCGTCCATCCCAGTGTCTTCTGTTAGTACTACTGCTAGTCACTACCCACTGCAGCCTCGTTCTGGTAAATGGAGTCTAGAAATAGGCTGGGGTCAACTGCCAAGATGGAAGAGACAGCTGCTCCCACAATGGCCGAAATGTTCCAAGAAAGACACCAGATCAGAAATCTGTAGATCCAACACAGAAACAAGAAAAGGAATGCCCCAGAAAGACAACAGCAGGGGACCAGACCCAGAGCGTAGCAAGCATGACTGGTTGCTGTGGGCTGTCCATAAAATCTGAAATACTACCTTAGCTGTGTAGTAGAATTATGGTAGGAATTACAATAAATCCAACAGTGATGGCGCATTCTTTGGTGAATGCTAACATGACCTCCACCGTTGAACTGGCTGACTTGTCCCTGTACCTGACTCTTTCCTCGACTTTTTCCTCCTGATCATGTGCTAAGAATGTGTCGATGACTCCTGCAGGCCCAGCTCACCATATCCACTGAAAACATCTGCAACCTTTCAAAACTGCTTTGACCTGACCTGGATAGCAGAAGCTGGGCTACAGCTCTGTTGTGCCGGCCACATTTCTCTGGATAGCCAATGTCCAGTCCACTCTACATCCCCGACAAATAACCACGAGGCCTCTTTTCCCTAATGTTCACTCATGACTTTCCCAGGCAGTCTTCTCTTCTTGCAGGGAAATCCTAAGCATTTTCAAGGCTAGAACAGCCATTACCTCTACAGAGGGAGGGTCTGCATCAGAAGTGTTTTGCGGTATTGGTAATACACTGTTCTGAATTTAGCTCGTACATACATGGAAACCGACTATTCTTCAATTTTTACATATACTACTATAAGCACTTTTCTATATATGATACACTTCAAAAATTAAATTAGCCATGGAATGTTTGTTTTTTGCTTTTTTTTTTTAGTTTTTCGAGACAGGATTCCTCTGTAGCTTTGGAGCCTGTCCTGGCACTAGGTCTTGTAGACGCCATGGGATGTTTGTATGCACTGACAGCACCTTTTAGAAACACAATTTTGGTGTCAGGCTTGGAGAGATGGGGATCGGGCATGACACAGAAACTCTTACATACAAAGACAAAAAAACGATAGAGGATCTTATTCAGAGCCAGGCAATAGGAACAAGGAAGAAAAGACACAAAAACCCAAGACATACTGGACGGCTGGGAGCTAAGAGAACAGAAACAGTGAAGACAGCAGGCTCTGCTGAGGCCAAAAAAGCAAAGGGTTGGATACATGGGTAACAAAAGAATCACTGAGTTCAGCCTTGGATGCGCAAAGTTTGAGAGAGAGCAGATTTCCAGCAGGCCACCAGAACAGCAGAACTAGACATCAAGAGCAGACCCGGATGTTTCAGAGCACTGACAGCTGGAGTCAGGCAAGCACACAGGAGCCACCACTTATGGGAGGGAGGAGGGGAAGGAGGCAGCCACAGCTGAGGATGCACAGGGCAGCAGGGACACAGCACCTAGACACAGGCTGGGTGAGTGAGGAACAGACACGAAGCTGAGGACCAACTTGTCTCCCCGCAACCTTCAAGACCAGGGCAGTGGCAGCTAAAAGCCAGGCACGAGGGCCTCTGGGAAAATCAGTGTAAAGCTGATGGCTTCACCAGGTGTTTTTCAGGATTCCCTGAGCTTAGCTTACCCTAAAGGCAGAGGTTTCTGGTTCACAAGGGTCAATGGAGATACTACACAGAGGTCAAAACCTTGGTGATGTCCAGAGACCTTCACTGTCCACCTGGTAGAGGCGAGACTGGTGTCTGGTGGAAGGAGATAGTGATGCTGCCAATCACCTTACTCTCACAGCAAAGAACGTTCTGGTCAAAGCTTAAAAGTCTAAGAATGGGGGAGGGAGGTGGAAGAGTGTACAAGGGAGCCTTGCCTTGGGAAAGGGGCCATTTTCCTCAGAGGTGCAGAATGAGGGAACTGGAGGAGACAGGGGAAGTATGGTTTCTATTGCCAGAGACAAGAAACTGAATGAACACTGACAAAATATTCAAGTACGTGGCAGAAAAAGACTGAGGCATTTGTTTCCACGAATACCTCAAGAGAGCAAGAGTCAGAATATACTTACAAGTTCTCGGCGGCTGTCACCTGAGGCAGATAGGAAGGAATGTGTTCTCTGAGATGCTCCACAGCTTTGAAATCGCCTTCAAGAGAGTCACAGAGCTCCTAAGTGTTAAAAACACCTGTGAACAAGACTTCCTCCTCTACGTGTGTGATGTGTGTACAGTCAGAAGACTGTGATACTCAGTCCTGGTAAGGGCTGAAGACACAGAATGCAATGAGAAAGCACAAATCCAGCAACTCAGATGAACAACAAAATAACAATGATGAGCTTAAGGGCCGGGTGTAGCTAGTGCACTTGCCTACCCAGTACGAGGCCCTGGGCTGGATCCCAACACAGGTAAGAAAGGGGGGTGGGAGAGGGGAGACCTGTAACTTTAACCTTGGGAAGCAACCAAGAAATAGATGAAATATTGATGTTTCTGAACCTAGCAAATTGCTCTTACTGAGTTAGCACATGTTCCCAGTGCTGCCTAGGAAACAGCACCAGAGGGACCAAGGTCAACCCAGATGGGGGGCGTTCATATGCTTTTAGTTTCTGAGTTTTAAGTTTAGGGTTTTTATTTGGTGTGAGTGTTTCAGTGTGTATGTGTAAGTGTGTGTATAGTATGTAAGAATATATATATACACACACTGTACACACACACACACATATAGTATACACTCGGCATGTTCCTGGACAGGTGGACACTGATAGACCAACACTGTTTTCCATTTTGAGTCTATGGCATTTTCTTTCCAAGAACTAATTATGCTCACGGCCACGTTTTTACTTTCGACTGGGGATTAGCATAAGTATGCCCATGCCTAGAGCTGACGCGTCTTCTCAGACCGTGAAGCTGCAGGCTCACCCTCCCTGGGCACTACAGTGGGGCCAGCACGAAGCCCTGAGGGCACCGGCTCTTTTCCTCATCAGGACAGCACCAAGCACTCTGCACGGCTGAAGTCAGCGAGAAGTCTCACTTACAGCAAGCTTTCCTTTAATGAGCAGACCTTGTACTTTATAGAAACAAACATCGGAAAGCAGCTAAAAACCAGTCTCCCTTTATCCTTTAAATGAGGATGCTGAGAACTCAAGAGGTGAAGTGGTTTTCCAGCGTGGCAGAGTACCAAGGTAAGGACCTTTCTCTCTCAGGGCAGGTCTTCTCCGCTCAGCATTCTAGTAGGGCATCATCTGTCTACATTAAACCCACCTACAAATATTCTTCAGAAACTTTCCTTTTAGTAAGTTTATGCTATTGGCCATAAAGAAAGAGTTGCTACTCTGAAACCCCTTTATACTGAGAACACAAATGTTACTTTATAGACTAATTTACAAAGCCAAGAACTTTACAAACAAAGGATCCTTAAAAATGATCTGGTCAGGCGGAGGTGGTGCACATCTTTAATCCCAGCACTCAAGAGGCAGACAAGCAGATCTCTGTGAGTTCGAGGACAGCCTGCAGCCTGGTCTACAAAGCTATAGGGAAACCCTGTCTCAAACAAACAAACAAACAAAACCAAAAACAACAACAAACAAAAAAACTGGTGATTAAGTAATTTGTATCTATGCTTTCTGCTTTCCAGTTAGGAAGGCATTACCTTAAGTGACCTGTTGGTTTGTTCTTGATACTGAATTTCCAATTCAAATTTATTTAGAAGTTCATTTATTGTAATGATCTCATCTCCTACTTTACTTAAGGTGGTCTTCAAGGCAGGTTCTTGGCCTGTTATAAAGAAAGAAAAATGGAAAACAAAGTGTATATAAAACCAAAACAGGCAAGTACCAAGTAAACTTGGGATCAACAGCTATGCTTTAGAAAAACATTTGCATTGGGAAGGATAAGTTCTTCATCCTGAGACCTGTCTCCATAGATAACTTTTTTTTTTGGGGGGGGGGGGGGGTCAAGACAGGGTTTCTCTGTGTTGCTTTGGAGCCTGTCCTGGAACTAGTTCTTGTAGACCAGGCTGGCCTCAAACTCACAGAGATCCGCCCTCTGCCTCCCAACTGCTGGGATTAAAGGCGTGCGCCACCACCGCCCAGCTCTTCATAGATGTAACTTTAAACCTCCTCTGTCTTGTTTTGTTGTTAAATGACAGGTTCTTGCTATGCGGTAACCCAGTCTGGCCTCGAATTTAAATCCTCCTGCCTCAGCTTGTACAATGCAGGTCTTACAGGTGTATACCACCAGACCTTGTTTAACTTTCATTTCAAAGCAGTAAGGAAGAGGAGGACGAGAGAGGCAAGTACAACATGCTTCCTGCTACTTTTATTTCTGGCAAATCGGCTAAATATAACATAAACATCTGGAAATAATGAACACCTGTATATAAGCATTCACGAGGGAGAGGTCATTCTTCTTGGGCTGACATTAGGTGGGACTCACAGACACCAAGTAGGGTGTGTGAGCAGAGGAGACAATAATCCCAGTCATTAGAGAGGAGGCTTTTGGTCTCAATGACCGCCCATCCTTGACCTTACTATGGATAAGAGCCAATGACTTTGAGACCTCAAACCACAGGTGTTAGAAATGAAATATCTCAAGTGAGGCTGTTACCCTGCTTCAGAGGACATATGATTAATGTGTAACCCGAAAAACTTAAAAGTGACAGGGAGATGAACTCATGTGATACTGCCTTTTCAATGTGTTTATTTATATAAAGGGGCAGAGTCTCCGGGAATTTGTAATATAAGTTTGGAATTCATATTCACACCATCCCCAGGACTCAAAACCTTCAATCAGAGATAGAAACAAAAAAAAAAAAAAACACAGACTGGGTGCCTGGGAGAAACAAAGACAAGACATTTTTATAAACAGGTGTTTACACTTCTCTCTGGACTCGGATTTGAAAGGGATTGGAAAACCTGAAGTTCCTTCTTCCCTACAATTCGGAAGTGATGTAGAATAAGCAAGATTACTCAGCAGGTAACGTAATCTACTGCCAAGCCTAACTAACAACCTGGTTTTGATCACAGAGGAAGCAGAAAAGCAACTCCTGCAAACAAAGACAAAATGTTATTTTAAGGGTAACTTTAAAAGCTGTAAGGCCAGTCTGGTATGGGATTGGGCACTCTTTTACTCCCCGCACTCAGGAGGCAAAACGGAGGCAGAGGCAGGAGGATGACTGTGAATTCAAGGCCAGCCTGGTCTACAGAGTTCCAGGACTGCATAGAGAGACACTATCACAAAATAAAAAAAAATAAAAAAAAAGAAGGAATTTTTATATGTGCTTCAAACGACCAGACAAGGAAACACAAAGAAGTGAGAAACATTACCATCCATATCTATAGATTGTGTGGAGACAAAGGGAACTAGTGGATGCTCCTGGCCTGAAGTCCAAGAGAGCAACAACTGTTACGGGGGTTGCTGCAAAGACAACTACATGAGAAGACAAGGAAGACTTAACATTGCATCTGGGAATTAGCAAAACTCTTGTCAAACGCCAACTACTAATCTCTGTGAGGACCAGCGCCATTCTAGCTTTGCAAGGCAGACACTATCTGGCACTCAATTCATAACCACCAAAACGAGTTAATTTCAGGGTTTTTTGTTTTTTTGAGACGAGGCCTCACTACACAGCCTTGGCTGTCCTGAAATTCGGCAAGTAGACAAGGTTGGCCTTGAACTCAGCCTGCCTCCGCCTCCCAAGGGCTGTGATTGACCACCTGGGTCTGATAAGTTAATGTTAAAAGGGTACTGATGTTTGCACCAAGAATAATTTTAGAAAGATGAACTAACTGGCTGGATACAGTATCTGTCCTGACCACCACTATCTCAAAGGAAAAAAATTAGACATTTACACTTTAGTAACACAAGCAGCTCAGCAAGTTCATACTTGTTAGGTATCTGGTAAGCTATGGCAGTCAGTGGGAGGAGCTACTAGACTTTATTAAACAGGCGGTGGAAACAAATATTCTTCTCATTTACTAATGACAATGGTCTAGCAGACTCCCCTACTCCTGCCAGACTTTGGTGGGGTTGCTTGAATCCAACTTTATAGACCCCCAAATTATGTTTATCCAATCATAATCCAGCCCTCATAAAGAGAACCTAACGAAAGCTAACCATTAAAAATCCAATTTCTTTCTTTTCTTTTTGAGCAATGTTTCACTACGTAGTTCTGGCTGTCCTGAAGCTCACTCAGTAGACCAAGCTGGCCTCAAATTCACAGAGGTCACCTGCACTTGTCTCTGACTCCCAAGTGTTGGAATCAAAGGTGTGTGCTGCAATGACGACCAATTTTTTTTTTTCAATAAACGTGGAAAAGAGGTTATACGGGTGGAAAGGCATACAGTGGGAATTCAGACTGAGAACCATCATTCCCCCTCCCCGGGGTGTTCAGAAGATAGATGTCTTGGGCATCTTCTGAGTCTTGGTCTCCTTGAGTATAAAATGTGAGGACTTGCTATGTTGAGTTCAGATGTTTTTGATTTAACTTTCTATAGAATGTGAACCATGAACCACAAAATAAACTGGTTCCTTTGTTAGATGTTCTCAAATAAGTACTGAAAACACCAAATATCTAGGAGGGATATTCAACAGAATTTCATTATTTCAAAGAAAAGTAAAACCTTAAACTATACACATCACAAACTACAGCAAAAGCTCCACAGTTTTTCCAGAAGACAGAGCACAAATTTGGTTTGTTGGTTTGTTTTGTTTTTGTCTCTCTCGGGGTAGTAGGTAGGTCCTTTCAGCTCTAGAACCAAAGATGCTTCAGATCTTATTATTGGACCTATATTTAAGGAAAACGTTAGTAAAGTTAAATATTCCCCATTACTTAACATCGCCTCTGCATTATTTGAAACAATGACACTGGAGCGATTTGAAAAATCACTATTGGAAATCTAAAATTACCTTACTAGGAGACACTCATGAGAGGACAATAATCAAGATGCACTGTGTGTTCCCCAAAGCAGTGAGTTGATTTTGCTTACCGAGATTTCTTATCGACAGAATTTTCTTAATATTGTCAATCTTCTCATTAACGTAAGAGCATAGCTGTTCTAGATCTGAGGCCATCCTCCAAGCAGCTGAATAAAACATACAGAAACGCTTTTTAAAAGAAAGTTATGTAAAGCCAAATTTCCGTTCACTTTCAAAGCCTAAAAATAGTAAACAACATTGCTTTGAAAGAACACAATTTGAGGGCTTTTTTTTTTCTCAATTCTACAAACATTCAGCGTCTAACAAACACACAACGGTAACATGTCTTGAAGGCTCCTGCTGGTTATCTAGACACATTAAACCAGAGCTGCCATCATTTTCGGGGAGGCGAGGTCTCATATTTTGGGTGTAAGATGGAGCGAAAAGTCCTTGTAAGGATAGGTAAAAAGATGCCGGTCTGCGCAGGCATTTCCAGTCTTTGGACATCACGACATGACATCGTCAAGTTTATGTTGGAGAACCGTGCAAGGCAGTTACCAAGCACAAAATCGTAAAAGAGATCTCATAACGTATACGATTTTGCGCAGATCCCGGATGGCCGAGCCTGGCTGGAAACCGAAGTCGGAGAAGCGGGAAGCCTTCTCTCTGCGCCGCCCGGTACCCCCACCTGCTAAGCGATGCCTCCGGCGGCTTCGGGGACAGGGACCTCGCGGGATCTGGGAGCAAAGACGCTTCGCTGCGGCTGGGGCGTGAATGCACCGGACTACTGCCAAAACGCCGAACACTAAACGTTGCTTACAGAACTAAAATTCAAACTGCCCGGCAGCCTTGGCGCCCCGCAAGCGCGCAAGCGCGTTCCTCAACTGCGCAGACTCTGTTGGCAAACGAGTTTCCGCCCAACACCTCAGTGTCTGGGCGGGGCCTGGAGGCGGGATCAAGAGGCGGAGCCCGGGCGAGGTCGGGGAAGGAGGAGGGGCCCGGAGGCGGAGCTGGGATTGGATTGGCTCACTTCTAGCGCGGAAAGGTCCCTTTTTGAGCCCCGGCGCTCACAGGTGAATTTATTCATCACCCTCCACGACAGCACCGCCAGCTGCCTAGCGCTTGCTATAGAATGAGTAACTCAGTGGGTCTCGGAAATCTGCGGCAGAGTTCGTTAAGGGACGCTTCTACAAACAGCAGTGACCGTACGGAAATTCTGAGTTCAGGCACTTAGAGCATGTTTTTAAAATACTCCCGTACGATTCCAAAAAGCAGCCAGATTGGTGAACTTCAAGATTCTCCCTTTATGGGGATTAGCTACTCTATAAAGGGGAATACAAACGCCATTTTAAAAATTGCAAACGTTTATGATATGAAAGTGAAAAGGATTGAGGCGCGGGTGGGGAGAGAGAGAGAAGGCTCAATGAAAACCCAGTAAGCATACATGAAACGGCATAAGGAAATGTGCTACTTCATATTTTAAAAGTTTCATCTTCCCTGCTGAGAAAAGGGAGAAAGCGTTCCAGGGCCGGGATACTAGCGCCACAGTCATCAAATGCCCAAGTTCTTGACAGCCTTGCAAGACAACCTTGCCTGTCGTCAAGCCTTTTCCCAAGCAATGGGAAAGAGGGTAAGAGACTCGCCTCAAGCACCTTTAAGGTATTTTCCTGGAAGCTGCAGCTTGAAGAAAGGATCGGGGATCTTGAAAACAGCGATGACAATTATTAAATTTGAGGAGCAGGAATAAAAAAAAAAGAAAAACAGATCCTAAGGGACATGTGAATATACTATCCAACAGACAAACTTGTACGATGTGGGAGTCAGGAGAACAGGGACATCAGGCTGGCTGGACAGTCACCCAAAGTTACTCTGTAATGTTGGGGCATGCAACTCTGGCCTACAAGCCTAGCATATCTGACAGATATTCCTGTGAAGCAGAGAGAACAGCAGCCCAGAAGGGGGTAAACAAGTGGGTTTTATAGTGTCTCTAATAACTTAAGGGCAGGTTCCTCCTCTCAGGAGATTTTTCCTGTCTTGGGTAGATCAGGGTCCCTGAGCTGAGCCTGCTGGGTCTCTTCCTGACCCAGCCAAGCCAGGTTATGGGTAGTAGATATCCTTTGGCCTGTGACAGAATTCCCTTTAAGGAGGAATGAGGAAACATCAGTTATCGAATAAATAAGATCCCTGAGACCTAGGGTGTCCTGGGAAGTTTTATGATAACTTGACACAAGGTGTAGTCATCTGAAAGAAGGGAACTTAATTGAGAAAATGCCTCTCTAAGACCCAGCTGCACAGCATTGTTGAGGATATTCAGTCACACCATGAACTCTGATTTTGCATGTGTTAATTAAATAAAACTAACATTGGGTCAGGAGGCTGAGTTAGTAACTAGTTGGCAGAAAGTAATCGTAGAGCATCAGAGGGCATCCATGAGATAAACACAGGAAGTAGTAGGGAAGGATTGGTAGAGGCATGACTTTTTTGTTCGGCAGATCAGAAGGACACTTTCTTTTGGAGACACCAGCAAGAAAATAGAGTTAGTTAGTTACTACTCAAACTCTTGAAAGATTGTTGTAATAGGAGCGGCGGGGCTGCGTCCCCAGCACCCCGGCCGCCTGCTAGCTTATGCCCGAAATAACAACACACAAACTGTATTCATTTAAACACTGCTTGGCCCATTTCTATCTAGCCTCTTCTAGGCTAATTCTCACATATTAATTTAGCCCATTTCTAATCATCTGTGTGCACTTACGGGGAATATTCTAGCCTACGTCCATCCTGGGTCAGAGCTTCATCGCGTGTCTGCTTCCAAGAGCAGAGGATGGCGTCTCTGCTCCAAAGAGCAGAGCTGTCGAGTCTCTGAGCTCACTTCCTCTTCCTCCCAGCATCCTGTTCTGTTTTCTCCTCCCACCTATGTTTTAACCTATCAGGGCCAAGCAGTTTCTTTTTTACTTAACCAATGAAATCAACAGATTGATATATGACACTCCCACATCATATGATAAGCGAGAAGGAGAGTCTCTAATAGTTTCATAGCTAGTTCAAAATTAAAATTAACTAGCCGGTAAGAGTCGAATTTCAGAGGACCTGAATTTGCCCAACAACCAACGTAGTCCAGATCTGATGGGAAGTTATAGTTTTCCTCTAGTTTTATCTAGTTCCAAATGTTTAACAGAAAAGATACAGAGGAGCTGGGGACACAGTTCAGTTGGTAGGCTGCTTGTCTGGAATGTGAAGCCAAAACCGTTCTCAGTACCCCAGCACATGCTTCTTATTCTAGAACTCCGGGGGTGTAACAAGCCCCCAACCTTAGTACAACTGACACCAAGGCAAAAGCACCATTCAGGCCTTGGAACCCAGCTTGCCTATGGTAGGCAATACTTACCAAAACAGAAACAAAGGCAAAGTGAGTGGTTCCAGGATGTGGCTGGCAAAGTCCGTGAATGGACTAACCTTGCTTTTGGCCTCTGTAGTTGTGCTTCTTGCTATCTGGGTGTGATGGTGCATGACTTTAATCCCAGCACCTGAGAGACAACGGCAGGTGGTTATTTTTGAGTTCGAGGCCAGCCGGGTCTACACAGCGAGTTGAAGAACTGCCAGTATTAGATAGACCCTGTCTCAAAAGTAAGTAAAATAAAATAAAAATAAAATAAAAAGGATATTTTCCTTCAGATCTGAATGAAAAACATGAGGGAAAACGGGTAAAAGGTGGATAAACAACTGGGCAGCTACGACAGGACTCTTATTTCTTCTGTGGAGGTCTGGGTGGAGCCCTGGCATTCCATTGATAAACATCGAAGGGTAAAATGATTGGATGGAGGAATGAATGAGACAGATCTAGGCAGTGATAGGATCATCCAGTCTGCGGCAGCAGGCGTGTACGGAAGTCAACGATCAAGATGGCCACGCCCTTTGGCAGGCGTGATCCGGAAGCTACCGCCTGTTGCCTAGGAACGCGCGGAGTCCGCCTGCGGAGGCACAAATAGCTGACGACGTGTGCGTCGCAAAAACGAAGCAAGCGCGGCCATATTGCCCTCTGGCGGCCACCGTACGGACTCGACTGACAAGGTGGCGGCGCGCTCGGAGGCGCCGCATTCTAGGCGCAGCCATCGCTCCCGGAACGTACGGTGGCCGAGACCTTACGGACTCGATGGTTAAGATGGCGGCGCCTGGGCGACAGCGGCGGATCTAGGTGCGCGACCCTATTTGTTCCCTGCTCAGCGGTCGTCCCGGGCGTGAGGAACCAGAGTGCGGTGCCGCGGAGGCGGGCCCGGGAGCGGAAGTGGTTGTGGGCGCCTCTGCCACCGCCGCGGACGCTGTCCGGGGGCTCGCTCGGATCCGCGGGTCGCTGCCCGGGGTCCGGAGCGGGTACGCCGGGAGCGCAGAGATGGTGAGTCCCCGGTCGGGACGCGGATCCCAGGCGGAGGTCGCTGGGGGTGGCGGCGGCTGCCTGGTGGCAGGCGCCCGGGGCTGCTGGGGAGCTGTGTGCCGAGTCTGGGGGCCAACGGGCGAAGGTGTGCCGTGGGGTTTGGGACGAAGCGGCTGCGGGTTCCGGGATGAGATGAACCGTTGTGGGGGGTCCATAGTTGAACTTGAGCAGAGACTCCTCCAGATGGCAGCTTTGTGGGAAACCTTCTCGTGAGGTTCCTTGGCCAGAGAGATAAGCACTTGGCCATGAGTATTTCTCTGGAGAACCGTCAGGCGGGGGTGGGGTCCAGGAGCTAAGTTGTAGCGACTTGTGGGAAGCCTGTTTGGGGCGACGGCAGAATAAATTAAGTGGTACCCGGATAGAACTCTCGAAGGGGACAATGTGATAAGTGTCTGTGATGAACGGTGAGAGTGACAGACAGGATGCTGCTCGTCAGCGGGGTGCGCGATGGGAGGGCTGGAGCAGAGTGCTGGAGAGAACTAAGCAAAGTCGTGAGGCCCAGGGTTGAGTGATGAGGGGTGGGCGAGCTATGAGGGGAAGCCGCGAGGGGAAGGAAGACCAAAGACCCGGTGTGGGAATTTGTGGGGAGCCGTGGTGGAGTTGTAAGGGGGGGGGGATTAAGGAGTCATCGTTGGGGGGTGGGTCTCACAGGAAGGAGATGGTTCCGACCTGGAGCCCCCAGATGCTGGGGAGGACAGCAAGTCTGAGAATGGGGAGAACGCTCCCATCTACTGCATCTGCCGCAAACCGGACATCAACTGCTTCATGATGTGAGCGAGGGAGCGGCGGGTGGGCCGATGCCCGGCAGGGTTGGGGGACACTGAGGAAGCACACCCCTCACGTCTCTACCACTTGCTCCGTTACATGCAGTGGCTGTGATAACTGCAATGAGTGGTTCCATGGGGACTGCATCCGGATCACTGAGAAGATGGCCAAGGCCATCCGCGAATGGTACTGTCGGGATTGCCGAGGTGAGGCCTGGGCGTGGGCAGGGGAGGCATGTAGGTTCCAAGAGATGAAGAAGAGCCAGAACGGGAGGGATCGTGGGTAGGCATGGTGTCCTCTGGGGACAGTGGTTGCGTTGCTCTCTAGTGGATTGGAATGCCAGCTCCAATGCGAGCAATAATGGAGGATCCTAAAGGAAGGGGCAGCTCTCTCCTATAGCATGAGCCAGACAAGTAGGTGGGGTGGGAGCAGAGAAGAAAGAGGTTCTGGGATCCTTCAGATCCCTCCTGCAAAGCCACTTTGATCTCACTCTTTGCCACACAGAGAAGGACCCGAAGTTGGAGATTCGTTATCGGCACAAAAAGTCCCGGGAGCGGGATGGCAGTGAGCGGGACGGCAGTGAGCCCCGGGATGAGGGAGGAGGGCGCAAGAGGCCTGCTTCAGATCCAGACCTGCAGCGCCGGGCAGGGTCAGGGACAGGGGTTGGGACCATGCTTGCTCGGGGCTCTGCTTCGCCCCACAAATCTTCTCCACAGCCCTTGGTGGCCACACCTAGCCAGGTAAGTGGCTGCAGTGGTTGGGGTGGGTGAAGCTCTCCTTTGGGCCCCGTTCCGGGTCCTGATCTCTACCCTGGGCATTGTCTCCTAGCATCACCAGCAGCAGCAGCAGATCAAACGGTCAGCCCGAATGTGTGGTGACTGTGAGGCATGCCGGCGCACCGAGGACTGTGGCCACTGCGACTTCTGCCGTGACATGAAGAAGTTTGGGGGCCCCAACAAGATCCGGCAGAAGTGCCGGCTTCGTCAGTGTCAGCTGCGGGCACGGGTGAGCATGGACAGAGCTGGGCAGGATGCTGTGGGAGAGCGTGGCTGGGAGGCCCAAGTAGGGCTGCATTAGCTACAAATGAGCAAGTGTAGGTGGGATGGAGCCTGATTGTGTCCAGACGAGTGGGAGGGGCCCAGCATGTTCAGGTGGATGACAGATGACCTAAGTAGCTGACAGGCCCGTATATTTTTAGGTGGTCAGGCATGGCAGGGCACAACAGGTAGGCCTGAGCGTATCTTTGTGGTGAGGGGAGGGCTAAAACTGCATTTGGTGAGACCAGGCCAGGATGAATAGCTGGGGCTAGGACAGGGTGACCCTCCATTTTCCTGGGGCTGACCTAGGCCTTCCTCCTGCGCACAGGAATCGTACAAGTACTTCCCTTCCTCGGTGAGTCCAGCCCCCCAGGGCGGGGCAGGGCATGCGGGCAGGGCGGTCAGGGCCAGTCCTGAGATTCTGCCCCGCAGCTCTCGCCGGTGACGCCCTCAGAGGCCCTGCCAAGGCCCCGCCGGCCACCACCCACTCAACAGCAGCCGCAGCCGTCGCAGAAGCTGGGGCGCATCCGTGAAGATGAGGGGACAGTGTTGTCATCGGTGGTTAAGGAGCTACCAGAGGCTACAGCCACACCGGAGCCCCTTTCAGATGAGGACCTGGCACTGGACCCTGATCTCTACCAGGACTTCTGCGCGGGGGCCTTTGATGACCACGGCCTAGTGAGTAGCAGCAGCGTCCTGTTGTGGGGGAGGAAGTGGAAAGAGGAGGCAGAGGGCACACAAGGCTGCTTGGGGAAATGGGTGGTGGTGTCATGAGTTGGTCAGGTGGTCAGAGCACGCCCTGCTTGCAGCCCTGGATGAGTGACACAGAAGAGTCCCCCTTCATGGACCCTGCCCTGAGGAAACGGGCAGTCAAAGTGAAGCACGTGAAACGTCGCGAGAAGAAGTCTGAAAAGAAGGTGATGGAGAGGGTAAACCGGGTGTGCACGGGAGAAGATGGGGCAGGGAGGGAGCCGGGGAAAGAGCCAGAAAGCTGGAGTACAGCGGCAGACAAGGCCTGAGGCTGACCTCCGAAGCACCTTGACATGACACGTCTTGCCTCTTAGAAGGAGGAGAGATATAAACGGCATCGACAGAAGCAGAAGCATAAAGACAAATGGAAACACCCAGAAAGGGCTGATGCCAAGGACCCTACATCACTACCGCAGTGCCTGGGGCCTGGCTGTGTGCGTGCTGCCCAGCCTAGTTCCAAGTATTGTTCAGATGACTGTGGCATGAAGCTGGCAGCCAAGTGAGTCTTTCCTGGGCCCTGAAGGGAGTCAGGAAGTGAAGAGTAGGCATGACCAGAGATTTCTGTCCCAAATATCTACAGTTCAGTCAAACCCCCATCTGGTCACGTTAACCTGCTACTCAGTCCCCATCGGCCTCTCCCCTACCATTCAGTCTCTCGTTCCTTGCACCTCTGTGTTGTCTGTTTGTTTGTTCGCTGTCCCATCACCCCACTTACTGCTTTTGGTGCTTCTCTGCCTGTACTTCATTGCCTCCTGTAGCCGCATCTATGAGATCCTCCCCCAGCGCATCCAGCAGTGGCAGCAAAGCCCCTGCATTGCCGAAGAGCATGGCAAGAAGCTTCTTGAACGCATCCGCCGTGAGCAGCAGAGTGCCCGCACCCGTCTCCAGGAGATGGAGCGCAGGTTCCACGAGCTTGAGGCCATCATTCTTCGAGCTAAGCAGCAGGCTGTGCGTGAGGACGAGGAGGTAAAGAACGTACAGCTTGGCAGGACGCGGGACCTTGTCCTGCCTGGCCTCATCATTCCTCTCGTCCCTTACAGAACAACGAGAATGATAGCGACGACACAGACCTGCAGATCTTCTGCGTCTCCTGTGGGCATCCCATCAACCCACGTGTTGCCTTGCGCCACATGGAGCGTTGCTATGCCAAGGTCAGGGAGTGGATGGTATGGGGGTGTTCGTGGGCCTACACGGCCCATAGATTTGTTGCCTGGGTGGTATCTTGAGAAGACACCCAAAGTCCTTTTATTTGGGCTCATCTTTCCAGTATGAAAGCCAGACGTCCTTTGGGTCCATGTACCCCACACGCATTGAAGGGTGAGTAAGGGTACCATGTGGAGTTAAGGGTAGTTACGGCTGGGGTTAGAAATGGGATAATGCGTGGAATTGGGGCTGGAAATGGGTATGGGCCTTTGAAGTGGTTAAGGAGTTACTCACGGCTACCTTCCTGTTAACCTCTGCCAGGGCTACCCGACTCTTCTGTGATGTCTACAATCCCCAGAGCAAAACGTACTGTAAGCGGCTCCAGGTGCTATGTCCTGAGCACTCACGGGACCCCAAAGTAAGGTTTTCCTTCAATTACCTGCGTCCTACCCTGCCCTGCCATGCCCTACCTTGTGTCTCACAGCCGTTTGTTCTTTTTTCCTGTCAGCTTCTATTTCCTCCCTTTCTTGTCAATCATCTCCAGTTCCTCCCCTTTTGCCTCCTTTTCACTCTCCAGATTCTCCATCCCTCCTCTCACGTCTGCCCTTGGTGTCCCTGCAGGTGCCAGCTGATGAGGTCTGTGGGTGTCCACTTGTACGTGATGTCTTTGAGCTCACAGGTGACTTCTGCCGCCTGCCCAAGCGCCAATGCAATCG